ATTGGTCGCGATTTATGGGACTCGACGGTGCCAAGGACGATATTGATGTCACGACGACTTCAGGCCCTAGCACCGGCCGCAGCCCTAGCCCCGAGCACAATCGTGCTAATACCATTTCAATCCATGGAGATAACACGGTGAATAAATTCAATGGCGATAATCATGCAGGCAATCACTGTTTTGAACCTGAATTGCTACCGAAAGGGAATTTAAAGGAAGAGGTGAATGAGGTGATGATACGCTCAAGTTTCAATAGTTTCTCAAATCGAACCCACATATACATAAAATATACGTGAAATATACACTTGAGATTTTCGTAATTCAATCCCGTTACAGATCAGAACACACATATACATAAAATATACACTCAAGTTTCAATCGTTTCTCAAACCGAACTCACATATACATAAAATATATGTAAATATACACTTGAGATTCTCGTAATTCAAGTCAGTGACAGATGGGGACACACATATACATAAAATAAATATAAAATATACACTTGATTTACGTGATCATGTATGTTCTGTAGAACCAAAATTCCACGTCTTTTAGCGGAGCATGATAAGAACAAAATCCTAATTATTAAGTAATATAGACTTACCTTTTCTTTTTCAGTTTAACGTGATTGTAGGAAGATTGTTTTTTAATTAAATATGGTAACTGATATTTAGGTAACTGATTATGTTTTATCACCAAATAATAGCAATAAGGTATACATGCAATTAATATACACCACGTTGTATTTTTATAAATATTTTAAAATCTTGTGGTATGTTTAAAAATTCGCCCTTTCTTATATGTTCATGTTGGGAATGTTAATCTTGGATAGAAGGTGTTGGAAAGCTGGTCCTGATTTAATTAATTATCTCAAAACTGTTGAAATAGGGATTTGGGCCTGTTAAAGAAACCCGAGGCCCATATATACCATAGAAACCCAGGATATACTGTTGCCTTGTTGAGTTAAAATGTAAATAAACGAGGCCCGGGAAACTTTTGCAGGAGTAATCTATCATAGCGGGAAAAGAAGGGACAAAATGTCAAAATAAAAAATTTCAACACCTTTTGCTGTTACCATTTTTCCATCAAAACCAGAAGAAGCTGAAGCAGATGCAGTCGAAAATCAGCACCTTCTTCAAGCCCTCTCCTTCTCCATCTTCCTGCGATTTGTCTGCCGCAGTTCATGAAGAGTTACGGGGAGAGCCAGAAATCACCGTCACCTACAAGCGCCGGAAGTTTAAACAGCTATGGTAAGTATTCACACACCATTCGTAGTTAAATTTTGTCCTGAATGAGCTTGTTGATGGGCGCCTGGTCGCCGGAATTGCACCAGCGAGGTCTGAAACTCTGAGATCATTATCAGCTTGATCCAACCTGTTTACATCACACTATTTTGTAGCGAACAACTAGGTAGTTCAGTTTCTATGTTCGTCTATCGTGCTTTATGTACTCGTTTTGTTTCAGATTTTTTTATTTGTTTATTTTTTTTTTATCTCAATTCCATGTAATGCCATCTTGTAGTGCGGTCATGACCATATTATCTAGGGTGAAAAAGATATCTCAATTGATTATTATATGCTTAAATCTTTATTTTAGCCTGCCGGGTGGATTTTCCTTGTGTTGAAACATGGGTTCTGTTCTATTTCAGCAAGGTTGAAGGTGGATCGAATAACAAATCCTTAGAGGAAAATGATTGTGAGGACAAACTAATCAAATCGGAGCATGCTGGGTGTAGCAAAAATCTAAGTAAAAAGAGAAATTATGCACAGTTACATCTGGAGGTCGGTCAATCCAATTTTCTATGGGGCGCGTGTAAAACTTGCGGTTTTAAGTATGCTCCAGGAATTGAAGGTGATGAAAAAGTTCACAAGGCATTTCACAAGAATTACACACATGGGGTGCCTTGTAAGGTAATCGAGCAGTTTTAAGTGCTCCATGTTTCATACTTGGGGCTTGTTCTGATTTTACAGTTTTTTTTTTTTTTTATCACTTGATTCCCAGGACTGGTCTAGTGAGAGGATTATAGATGCACCTGGAAAGGGACGCATTATTTTGGTGCAAGAAGGTGATCCTACCTCCCAGCAAAATAAGGTAATGGATAATGAAGAGATTTTAGCTTTCCAGCAAATTTTGTTCAGTTACTCTAATTTGGAGAGTTTTAATGGGACATCTAGCAAATCCTGCAAGTTCGTGAGGTTGTGCAGATGATGGAAATGGAGTGGATAATGGATAAGCACTGTAAGGTAGTTATTTGAATTATGACCCGCTTATTTTCTGATATTTTAGAGATCAAACAGTTTACATACAGCTACTTACTGCTCGAGCATTTATGTTTTATCTTTGTCCTCTTTGTTCAACAATAGGTAGTTTATAAGCATTTCACCATTTTACGTATTCCTTCGTCATATTGTGGGAAAATTAGTTTTCTTTTCCCTTCAAATTTTGAGTCAAGTCAGAAGGTTGAGTTAGTTGCTTTCGCAACCACAATTATTTGTTACTTTCTTACAAATTGCATCCTCAAGGGAGCTCAGTGTGGTTACATTGTTTGCACTTTTACGCGATAATATATATTTTGAATGATGACTGATTTCGTTTTCTTTAAGTAGGCTAAAGGGTAGTTTGTTTTCTGATTTTTGTCCAACATCAATAGTTTGTTAATCTCATGAAGCTGGAAGCCTGTAAGTATTCAGGTAAACGTACATGCATAACATGATAGCAGGTATATCTTTCCATTTCATCACAAAGGATAGTTGGGTGCCTTGTAATCGAACCAATAAAAAAGGCCTACAGGATTGTCTCCTGCTCAAAGGGTGAAGAGACAAATGTGTCTGCAAAGCAAAAAAAGAAAAAATTAATTGCCCTTCAATTTGGTGGAGTTAGTCTTCAGAGGGAAATAATAAAAAGACATCCTGTTGACAGAACTCTCGAGGAAGCAAGCTTTGATGGCGTGATTTTGCACGAGGATGAGGTCACTCCGTGTAATAAAGCTCATAGCCAGTAATCTACTTGATGCCGCACGGTAGAGTTCATTTTGTGGCTTCTAATAAATTTTTTCTGTCTGTGTCAATGACTAAAATGGTATATGCTGTATAGGTATGAAAAATTGAATTTGCTTCTGGAATTTTGTCTCTTTGAAGGTGTTAAAATAACATCTTTCCGGTTTGCATTTACGTGCTAGACAGAAAAATGATAATGCGCGAGTGCAGTTCTTGAAAAATAATGAATAGATTTTTCTGCAGTTAAATGGCATTTGAGGAAAGTGAGAAAATAATCTTTGAAAGCTCTGTTGTGAAAACTAGTCACATAAGATTACTCTTTTGACGTGTGTTTTCGGATTGAAGGTCTTGCTTACATTCTCCTGAAGCTGCAAGTTTCTTAAATTTTGTGTTTTCCAATTTTCTTCCTTGATTATTGAGAACTATGACTTTATCTGGTGCATTCTCTTTGTTTGCAGAAAGTTTTCTGCGAAGGCTCGATTCTTGACCAAACACAGGTAGCATTTTCTCAACCCTCCTTACTAGTAAAGGCTTTGATTTCTAGTTATACAAGAACAAGTTCTTTATTGGTCTACACTACAGCTGAAACAGGTTAGAGGAAGTATAATCATCAAAGTTACATACTCATGTCACTTTTTTCAGAGATTTATAGTTCTAAGGATATATGTGCCTTAAACAAAACTGATCCCCACTGATTATACAAAATTGAAATTTTATTTCGTTGTGATCCATTTAAATGCTTCATTCAAATATCTGATCAGACATTTTTCATTGAAAAACTCTGTTGTTCATTAAATCTTGATGATTTCCTCCAGTTCATGTTAATCTTGTGACCAGAATTACGGTTGGGTTTCAATTGAGTCGGGTGATTAATTTGAGCAGTCCCTTTGAATGTGATTATTTTACACTATTGTTTTAATAAATATATGGATTTTCTGTAATTATGGACAAATATTTGGGGCAACGCATAGAGTGATTTAATTTTGAGAAAAACGTTAACAGTGCCCAGGGTCAGTCAAGGAAGTAATATAGTCGGTAGCTCACTTAGAGGCTAACAAGTGTTTGTACCAAAAATTGAAAGTAGAAACTTTATTCAGACTGTTGGCTTGATGATTTGTACTTTTACAATTCCTAATCCCTGTTGGATTTTTGTAGACATAAAAATATGTAGCACCTTTTTTACATTGGAACTACTCAATCCCGACCTGACCATTGTCATCCCTATTCAAAGTTGTCTATATTCTTTCATCTATTTCTTTTGGAGTTTAGTTAGTTTAAATTCTTCCGAAAACTCTTTCAATCAACATCGCAATATAGCTCCTTGAGTACTCTCAAGCCCAAGCGATATACGAGTAAGACCACGACATTCCTTGGTTGGATGAGATGGTTTGGATGGTGTTGAAAGAGCAACTTGTTGATAATGAGGAGTTACTAAATGTAAATGTGTGTGAACTATAAGAGTAAGGACGTAAAGTGCAATGTAATTGTGATCGCCAAAAGAAAATAGATCGGCAATTTAGTATTTATTGCTCTTTGAGTATGTCTGTGAGTATTGAAGAAATTGAAGGTGGTCCCTAATACGGTACAATTCAATGCATTTATACAAGCTATAAAAAGAAAGACAATGATTACAATATGCCAATTATGAGCGTGTTTGATAGACACGTGTCTTAAAGAGTTGCATACAAGAGACATGAGAATGACGTTTTTAAAGATGAAACATGACTGAGAGGTCTCTTTTTTAAATCATTTTCACATTAAATCAGCATATCGATCTTGGCAGTCTTTTGATAGATCAACACTGAATGCCTGTTTATGCAGATAAAAAAGTTATATTTGCTAGTTTTGCTAATAAAATATATGAGTTGTATATTTGCTATAAAAATGTGTTGGGTNATCTCATTTGTCAATTGCCCACTTTATTTTACAGTTATCAGGTGTAGGCCCAAATATGAAATTCAAAATTTGGTATCAACCATTTGGGCCCATATCGTCAAGGTGTAGCAAGGAGTTTTTATACCTTTTGACGGTTCTTCAGTTTTTGGGGGGATATTTGGAAAAGAATCTAAAACCGAATTGCCGAACAATGGAACCGCATAAATTAGAGACCATTTATTTTTAATCGAACTGAACCGAAAATTTGGTCCGGCTTGGTTTTTTGGTATTCGGTTTCAAAATTCTACCCCTGATTACATCTAAAAGCGTTCTAATAAATTTATACTACCATAGTTATCCTTCACATTTCACTCAAAATTGGACATGCTTTAAATGGTTTTAAATTTTAATAGACTAAAAGAAAATAAAAACGCTACACAAATGCCCTCTAGGAAAAATAAATAAGTAAATAAAAATGCACCGTATTCCAAGGACCAGAGCACACTCGCTATCATCTGAAATTATCACTAAAACTGCATGCATACATCATACATTTATGTTTTCCCATGCAATTTTCCTTGTGATTCATTGGGGACAACCTTAAAGTCTAATAGCCTACTATATCACTGAATAAGGAAATCTGATTGCAATATATTCCAACAAATTTTAATAACACAGACCTCTTTAATTTATTCTGCATGGCACATGCTTTGATGATCTTTGTACAATCCCCATTCTCCAAATAAAGTAAATACGATTACAATTCCTACCATTTGCTTTTGCCTTATTCCTTGTCTCCAAACTTTATNGATTTACGAAACGATAGATTGTATTACTCAAAAGGATAAGAATCCAATACATATCGCAGGTTGAGTATCTATAATGACCCACCACATAGTGGAATCAGGGAGGAGCACTAGCCCTAGTGTCCTAGAATAAAACTAAACCCGAAAGAGGGTACCAAGTTACCGACAACGGTCTAGAGAAGGATGTTGAAACCGACAGTTTGGACGCCTACTTCCACACAAAACAAAAAACAAAAACACCCTCGAGGGGCGAAACAACTCCAACGAGTGGAGAATCAACTCGAAAAAAGGAAAAAGTTACACTAACAAACTAAACACACACCTAAGCTATCTAAGACTAATACCTCCCCTTCAACGCGGGCTTCACGCGCCTGACCACGGCCAAACCCACAACAAAGCAACCCCCAACCAGAACCTAAAGATCTACTGATACAGATTCCAGAACTAAAAACTTCACCGAAGGGATAGATAGAACCGGCAAGAAGGCGAGTTTTAATCCACAACAGAGATCCCGAAGCCACCAATTGAGGGAAGGAGAAGGCACAAGGGGCACGTTCCAAACAACAACATCGAAGGGACCCTAACCCGAGCACCCAGAGGAAACCCACCAACAAATATGAGCATGAGCACCGAGATCCCAACGCCGCCAAACCTGAAAAATCAGAACAAAACAAACAAGCGGCCGCCAACTGACAGTCGCGAGGGAGGAGGCGGAGAGGAGAAGCAACGATCCCAACTTGTGCCGGAGAAGGGCGGCGCAGTGGTGCTGCCGCCGACCCTTTCCCTCGGTAGCAGGTGGCGAAGCGAAGAAACACCTCCTTCGGTCCTGATCAGTGGTGAGGGCACCGGATCTATGGTAGTGGAAGCCGACGCTGAGTCCCATCCCGTTCCCATGAAGGTCGGCCCAGCGGCGCTGCCGCTGGCCCTCTCCCTCGGCAACTGGTGGATCGACGAAGAAACAACAACCTCTGACTTGGATGGAGATGAAGGCATTAGATCAAGGTACCGGATGCAGGCGCTGAAAAGCGGGGGCTGCGGGGATGGGAATTTTAAAGAGAAGGTATGTGAGAGACATTTTTAGAGAGAGATATCTCTCATTGCAAAACACTCATTAATTCCTCAAAAACTTTATTCATGACACAAATTTTGTTGTTAGAGTGTAACGATTAAATAATATTTTTTAAAAAAATATATATTTATTTTATAAATATCATAGGTTTATTTACGCGAGAGCAACCCCATCCCTCTCCTTTCTTTTTTCGTCCCGATGTCGCCCCACGGGGTGGCATGTTGTATTTTAAAAATTACATTTGAATCGCAAAGATCTACCATATGTATGATTGAAATAGTATGACTTTCTAATAACTAGACAATATAACAAAAGATCCACCATATTCATAATTGTGAAAGACATTTATTATATTACATGTACACCCTAATTTAGCAAGTAATAACTCATAATTGAGCATATATTAGAATTTACAAACTATTTTGAACACATTTCCAATCTCCTTTCGTGTTATATGTATCGATAAATAATCATGTGATTATAAAAGTATGTGAAATAATAGTATAAATTTTATTTATAAAAACTAATATTTATATTAATATATTAAAATAAGAAAATAACGTTATACATTAAATAAATTTCTGGTCTTTGGCTATATAACAGTGGAAGAAAAAAATCTAGGTCAATTCGACCTAGTCGAACAAATGAAAGAATACAGAAAGAAATGAGGTGGCGGATGGAGTTAGGGGGAAGTTGATTGAGAAGAAGACCGAAAATGGCACACATGCTGAGGTGATGTGGACAAAGGAAAAACCTAAGTCGTAGTTCGACCTAGTTCTGGAAGACTATGTAGCAGCTAGGTGGTGGATGATCGTATACATCTGAAGGTTGGGGACAATATAGTATCCCCAGTCAGCAGATAGGCATGAGTGGTCAAAGAACTCTTCAATCCATGCAGGATTGGCTCGGATGAACTCACTTGGCTGGCGAACGCCAGTAAGTTTGGTTGGGGGATTAAGCCAAGGAGGAGATTTCATCTCGAACTTTTCGTCGGTTTCGTCATCTTTGACTACAGGAAGAGGTCAAAGGCTGGATGACGGGCTGGACTGAGAGGTTGAAGGAATGGTTTGAAGTGGAGGGGCGAAAGAGAGCGGAGCAGGTTCAAGGGGAGAGTCATCTTCTTCCTCAGAATCAAGCTCGTCGAACAATTGAAGGGATCGACGGGAAGGACGAGTAGACGAGGGCGAGTTCAGAGATGGTGGAGCAGGATTGATGAGATCAGAATCGGCTACGAAATGATCTCCATTGAAGGGGTAAGAGAAGGAGTAAACAGAGGCATGGAGGTCGAGAAAGATGAAGGAGGAGTCATATCCTTGTCGGAGAATTTATCGGACTCATTAGAGGTGGTAGAATCTGAAAAGGAAAAAGACGTTATGACTTATTGAATCTGACAAGGGGCAAAGATTTGAATTTTAAAATTTGAATTCAAGACCACAACAAAAGGTCGAAAAGATTGTTGCAGAATTGTAGGAAGTGCGAGCAGCCTGGTCGATAAATAAAAGTTGAAACTCACCGAGTAAAGTTAAAAAGCAAAAGTCTACTCTTAGATCGAGTTATCTTAACTTCACCAGAGTCGGAGGGAGGGGGACTAGATGATATGGAATACCACACCGGGTGGAATAAACCCGATAAACCAGCAGGCCGGACTTGGCCAACTGTTTGGTCGAGCAGAAGCACAGATAGGCTGAATGGAGGTCGAACGTGGCTACAGAACAATGAGTCCTCAGGTTAAGAAAGACGTTACAAGTTCAAAGACACATCGACATGTTGAGTTAGGGCTCTTGAATGGCCTAGTTGAAACTCAAACTGAAGGCGTAACTGGTCGATGGATCGACCAGATGGACAGGACATGTGAGCTCAACCTACGCAGCACTCTAGCTTGAGGTGATTTGGATCAGTCGCACAATTAGACCGCCTAATAAGACAGACTAATGGATAAGAAAAAATATTATCAAGATAAGGACCACACGTGGCCTAACATAATTGGGCTGTACAGACAAGTAATTCGGGCAGCTCATTCGGATAGTCTTGGGCAACAAGATAACACATCCCTATATAAAAGAGTGAAGTATGCCCACTAAAACATTGCACTCTCTATGCATTCTATATTAGCAGTGCTCACAGGCTTTGTATTCATTATTCATCGTCTTCATACACATTCTGACTTAAGCATCGGAAACTCTATACCCGAAACCCCTCCGGCGTTGAGTTTGTGCAGGTATCGAAGGTCATCAACCGGCGAGGAAGGCAATCCATGTCGAACCGAGCCGGTCCGAGGTCTTTTACATACCAACTATGTAATTTAATTTTTATTATAAATATATAATTGTTTATTTATTTTGTATGTAGATGTCAAATCAATACTCATCAAGACATGATTAATTTGATATATTATGTATAAAAAATGATATAAAAAATATAAAATTCATAAACTTTTAAACCAACTTACAATTTAAGTTAGTAATTTTTTTATAATATTAAAAGAAATATGAGGAATAGAGAATGATTAAATAAACTAAATTGTGAGTTATAAATCACGTCTAAAATAAGAAATTTAACATAATTATAGAACCATAATTTCTAGTATATTCATGGCTATTTCAAACTAGCTAATTATTTTTAAATTGAGAGTAAATTAAAATCCATTCAAACCAATGACAAAGCATGGAAATTCGCCACATAGGATACCGAAGAATGCGAGCTTACCATTTAGGCTCAGAGCATTTGAAAATTATATATAGGGAGATGAGTAGAATTCATTAACAAAAAAGGGTAAGAACTAATTAAACTGTCAGTTATAGATTGAAAAGTGATGCTTGTTCGACTTGAACCATATACTTGTGTGAACTAAGCAAGTCATGTGTTCACATTCTCTTGACAAATTATTCAAATAATATTATCCATAATCTACACGATGAACTCAAACATGACAAAAAAATTTTTAATGTTGTTCGAGCTCGACGAGCTGGGATTTTTTAGGATCAGGTTGGCGCGACAAAAAAGAATAAGCATTCGAGATTGATCGATTTGAATTTCACTCGAGTTGTGGCTCAAAATTTCATTCAAAAGCAGGTCGTGGAATATTAATTGAGCTTATAAATTACAAGCTCCAACTAGATTTGAGGTTGATTCGAGACGCTGGA